CAAATTTCACGTGTTATAGGCGATTTTAGCCTCACGATATAACTATAATTATATGAATATATAATTATAAACATATTATTTAGTTATTAAAATAATGATAAGATAAATGTATAATAATGATATTCAAATTTATCATATTATAATGTTATTAACTATTCGTTACATAATATTTAATATACTGTAGTTTAGTAAGTAGAAATAAAATTTCTATATGTATAAGTAAATTGTACAACAAAAATTTTGATATAATATCTGATTTAATAAATATATATTTATAAATTAATTATTATAATATATACTAATAGTATAACATAAACATTATGGTAAAACTAATATATACATAATTTAGACAATGTAATATTAATTATAAAAATGACGAAAGATACTTTCTAAAAATAAGCACATTTTCTATGAAACATGTATATAAAGACCTGTACAAATTGCATTTTATTAAGTTCTCAAACATAGAATGTGTTTAAACCCTAAATGACAAAACAATTAAATTAATTTTATTCTTGGACTGCATACACAAGACGTAGGCAAATTCAGTTCTAAATCTTTCCATGTCTTCCTGCCAATTCAGATACGGACTCAAATCGACCTCTTGTGCTAGCACTAATATTTCCGTGAATTTGCAGACAAACATACCGTGGTCAACATTATTGCTTTGAGTTACACCCTTAACAAGTGTAAGTGACCATTTCTTAGGTTTGGCTATAGAAAAAGCATGGGCAGCATCCTTTGCAAAAAGTTTGACCTGCAAAGGTTATCAGAGTGTTATTTTTGTGATATTCGTGTTTTATTGGTGTGTTTTTGGTTGTGTGGAATTGTTGTGTTATCATTTTGTTATAGATATAACTTGGCGAGCGCATCCTTATGCACATGGTTGGGCAGAGAGTCGTATAATTTACATTTTCTCATTTTCAGCTCTCCCACCAACAAAGTCCAATGGGTGTTATGAATTATAGAAAACAATATGATTTGAGCTTCCTTAATAGTTTCCTTTGTGATGTGTTTCACTAAAGTTGCATTATCCAAGTTCCTATGCATCTGCATAAAAGGATAATTTGAATTCTGTCTACAATGAAGATACATGTCAAATATATATGGATAATTAAACTATTGTGATTACCCAATATTGAGACGTTACATAAATTTGCAGCCTGTATAATTCTGGTGATCTGGTAATTCTTTCATGCAATATGTCAGCAAAAATATTGTTTCCAAACCACCCATTTAGCAATACATCCTCCAGCCCGGCTCGGTCAATTTCCCTCCCAAGAACTTCGTTTGTAAGAAAATCATGTCTGAATTGTTAAGAAAGAATGATTGTCACATTTGAATATCAAATTACTGCATAACATCAAAACTATTGTCAACAGATACTTACACCCCCGTGTATGTGACAATGCAATCATCGATCACATCCTGCATCTCACATGGTACTAATGATCTATCAGGATATTCAATGTAAGATGTCACAGGACGAGGCTGCAAAATAAAACAATAATTATAAATTCTAACTAAAAAATTAAAGGTGTGTTTCAATATAAAGGACTAATTTTTTTTGTACCACTATAACATGGCTCTCTGCATGGGAGCCGGTGCTATGGCTAGTGATGACAATCAGGCTGCTTTGCAGTCCTAGGATGCTATAGAGGTACCTAAACCAGCGGGTGTCATCGTATTCTGTTCATGAGTATCTCGTAGGTTTCCCTCAGCTTGACTCGGAGTTGTCTCTGACTCAAATGACAGTACATCTATCACCATTATTGATTGAAGATCTTGAAGCAATGACAGTTCTAAATTTATTTCTGATTGTTGGCCCTTTCGGCCTTCGATATCTACAACAAATGCAACAAAACAAGTTTACAAAAGAACAAAAAATTTTAAACATATTATCAAGTTAAATAACAGGGAACAATATAAATTGAGTTGTTTACTGTAAAGGGCACAGGATCAAGAACACCACGTGTTGTTCGTTCGACTTGATCGGGGTCTTCTGGTAGTCTCTCATCCCTTGTTACAACATTGTCTTTTGCATCTTTTATTTGATCTTGTCCCTCTCGGGCTTCAGTATCTACAGCAGATGACACAAGACGAGTTTATAACGAAAAAAAAAACTTATTAAAACTATCAAGTAACATAGAATGAGCTAGTGTACAGAATAGAATGAGCTACTTACCGTATGGGACAGAGACCCAAGAAGATCCCGAGTAACAACTTCAGTGGGCTCTTCTTCTATTGTGTCATCCCGAGTAACAACATCATCTCATGCATCTCTTATTGTCACTTAGCCCTTTTGGGCTCCAAGCTCTTCTGCAAGTTGAATTTGTACATGTAATTTCTCATTATTTCTTATCCTCTTCCTTCTCCCATCACTGGACTTACTCTTTCGGCGAGCTGCTTGCTCTTTATCAACTTTAGTTTTTTCTAATCTCTTAACCATATCTGTTAGGGTGGACAATGAATCTTCAACATTAGCCATTTATTTATTCATAACTCGATTATTACTTCAAAATCATTTCTTCCCCTTCTATATGTTGCTTATAGGGTTACCTCACTTGAAATAATTGGACCAACGCCATGAGATTTGGGTGACGGTGGTCTGACTGGAGTTTCACGACGAGAAAGAGTCATAGCAGGGCTGGGTGGTCTCTGGTCAAGATTACACAATCATTCCTTCAAGTCTATGAATGTGTCATTAACCTACAATAAAAATCATAATATCCAAACTAAATTCAGTAAAGAAACATAGAAATAAAACTTACCCTAAGAAAATCTTTTAACGCAAGAAATTACTTACTTGTACATGCTCAAGCCTCTTAAAGGCTTCATGAATCTGTGGTGTTGTCCACCCATGACTTGTTGGCCACCTTCGCATGCAAGGTCTAGTCTCCGGTGCAGCAGGAGTAAACATAGATGTGGACCCAAAAAACCAAAGCTGCGGATTACATATATTAAAAACAAATTTGTCAGAAGGAAACAAAAACAAAAACATAAAGTCAAAAGAAAATTTTTTTAATGTTGACAATATGAACTTACAAATAAAAGAAATACAAATCAGTTTATGTAACCAAGTAATTGATTCCGCTTTATTACTCAAAAGGAGTGGAAGAATCTCCTGAAAACTTAGTCAAATCTTCCTTTATTACTCTCGCATTTACACGAGACAAAGGAGTTTTCCTCCAACTAACTGATTCTCCTTTGTTGGGCATGCCTAACAACATCACAACATGGTCAGCGTGGAGTTTTACCAATTTTCCACCCATCACAAAAGCTCTCCTTTCATTATTCCAAAATCCCATGATATGTAAGTGGGTCAAAAATTATATTGGGGATAAGGAGGCATGTCAAAAAATTGATTGACATTTATTTCTCTTAACAAATTCGTAGTCTCCTCAGAGACGTTGTGTCTAACAGCATCAAGCGCACCCCTCACAGTAGAAGGATAGCATCTACAATTAAAAGTTCTTGCGTTCATATACCTACAACAACAATAATGCAAAAGGAAATATTATTTTATAGATATCATTCTTCATTCACTCATTGTTAGATTATTTCAGTGTTATTATTGTGTTATTTTGTTAACGTTGTGTTATATATATATATGTTATTGTGGTGTTATATATGTGTTATCGTTTTATTATCATTGTGTTATATTTGTGTTATAGTTGTGCTATAGATATGTTATTGTGTGTTATTGATGTGTTATTGTTGTGTTATTGTTGTATTATTCCATGCTATACATGTGTGATTGGTACTATTGAGGTGTTAGTAGGGTTATAACATAAGTAATACCGCAATAACACAATAATAACACAAAATAAAGAACAATAACACTTCAATAACACAATTATAACACAACATATAACACATCTAACATAACAAAACAAAGATAACAAAATAATACATCTATAACACAATTATAACAACATAACACAACAATAACACAATAATAACACACAATAATACATCTATAACACAACTATAACACATTAAACAACCATAAAATAATAATAACAGAAATAACACATCTATAACACAGCTATAACATATCACACAATCATAAAATAACAATAATACAAAAATAACACTTAATAATGCATCCATAATACAACTCTAAACAATAAAACAAATCAGCTTTTTATCTAGAATAAACATTGTAGCATAATACCTCAACGACTTCAGGAGAGCGCTAGCTTCTTCTTCAGTAATGTTGCGACCTTCCATTGCTGTGTGATAGCAAGAGAAAAGGAAAATCAATGTCTTGTGTTTACCGAACGACGCAATGCTATAACTTATAAACATTAGGTCATTGCGAAATCGACCTTGCGTTTTCGAGCGATGAAGCCGAAGAGAAACTATCGTAGTTCCAAATGGAAACATTCGAAGACACGATGCATAAAGAAACCAAAGCACAAACGCCGAAGAAGCCGAAGCCGAACGGACGACGAAGAAGAATGAACGCTCGAAAACAGCCGAAAAACAAAAAGGAAGTGACCAACTATACCATAAAGGTGTTTTTTGTCTGGATTGTCGTTTCGATGGGCTAGATTCAGGTCGGGTTCCGCGACAAAACACATCTTTTAAATATTCTCCGCGGTGGGGCTGATGATTCGGGTCAGGTCACGTTAAATGGGTGTTTTTTGAATTTTTTTACACAGACCCAGATTCTAGTTGGATTCCTCTCATTAGACTCCGCATACAACTCTACCTGCAGAATGAGGCAATAATTTTTCCTCTATACCCCTCTCTCACTCTCTAATTTTACTCTTTGACTCAAAATAATCTCCAATTCAACAAATATATAGTCATATAGTTATAGCCTTGAAAAGAAATAAACACATATATCAACTTCAATTCACTTGTCATTGTTTCTACAACAAATTAAGTATCACTATCTGCTCTCATCTCCTATAAACGAACTTTACACATAATTCCACCAGACAATTCTACAATCATTCCAACTCAACTGCAACGCGACCTTCACCCCATCCTCAACCGGCTACCGAACCCAATCCCGTCCCGACCAAAACCCGGCGCACATCACCCGAGCCGAAATCCCTAACGCCTTCTCCCCAATCCTCAAACGTCACATTCCCCCTACCAACTTCCCCCCCAAACCCCGCAGCCCCGCAAATATCCCCCACGACTGCATCCACCATCTCCGCCGGCGCCATTCCCCGCCCATCGCGCACCCACACCCTCGCCATTCCCGTGTATACCGCAGCCACCACCGCCTTCTCAGCATCTCTCTGCTCAATGACGCTGGGGCTGACGTGAATCACATACTCTCCGCCTCCACCAGTGGCGGCGGTGACGATCACGGCACGGGTGAGGTTGTAGTCGGCGACGCGAAGAGTGACGGACTTGATTATCTTGATGGGGAAGTACTTGACGTCTGGGTAGAGGGTTCGCTCGATAGAGGCGCTGGCGTTGAGGATTGCGCGGGCGGCGCCGCCATTGGAGACGAACATAAGGTTGTAGCGGCGAGCGGCGAGGGTGTCGCTGGGCATTTCGACCACGGTGATGTCGAAGCCTTTGGAGGCCTCGTAGTTGGCCCAGAGGGAGATGGCGGTGACGGTGAGGACGGTGGAGACGCGGCAGAGGGAGGTCAGGTTTGATGAGGGAAAGGATGGTTCATCCATTGGGAAATTTTATTGGAGGATGTTGATTGGATTCTGCAGGTTTTATAAGGCCTACAAATTTTGTTTAGTCGTCGGTCAGTCGCCGTCATGAGGTAAATCATGTGTTGTTTTCTGAGTTCGTTGGCTGCTTAATTCGGTTCAGTTCTTTTTCGTATTAAATTGAAGTCCTTAAATCTTCAAGACAAATCTTTCATTGCAATTTGTTGGTTATTTTGTGGTTTCTTGTGGGCATGTGGAGTAAGTAAGAAAGGGGGTGGGCATGTCGCATGGCATGATTCTAGTTACTTGATTTTGAGTTTTGTATCATGCAGTGGTTATCTAATATTGTTTGGATAGTCCAAGTTTTTATTTGGCAAAATAACATAAGGCATTGAATCATAAGACAACACTATACTTAATCAATGCTTTATGTTATTACTAAAATAGTGATTGCATAAAAAAAAAATCCTAGGATCCCAATAATTCCATGGACATATGACCCCATTCCTTTGCAAAGGAAAAAGAAAGATAGATAACTCACACTAATTTATGGAGATCACCCTCCTCTTTGCTACACTAAAAATTTGTTCCATATGGGATAAGATTTCTTGGTGTGAATTCTAGATTAGAAAACTTTATGTATATAAAAATTGTGGGAATATATTGTTGTTATGTGATAACCCTAGATTGAATGTGAGAGATACTATTGGAAATATTCATGTCAATTCGATATTTAATACTTCAATCCATAATCACATATGCATTCATTGCAGGTAATATCTTCATGTATATCAAGTTCATTGTTCAAAGACACTAATAATGGAGCATCACAATGTCTTCATCATTAGACCATTATAAGGCACCTCCAATCAATTCCAATCACGCAAGAATATAGGTCATCCAGATAGCAACATCATATATCAAATTTGAATCTTATGCATACATGCATCTACATATAATTTTTGGATGATAGATATATGAAGTTGTAGAACATGCAATCCTTAGTAAGAAAAGGATTGTCTTTAGAAAAATAGAATTGGAATGCCCAATTATATAAAATTAGCGTTATTTAATTAGATGATTAATTTTGGTTGAATTAGGATAGCAATAAGTGTATTAATTTAAATCATATTTAAGCCAAAGTTTTATTCTAATGAATTTTATAAGTTTATTGGTTATCTTATTTCAAAAAAGAGACCTTAAATGTATATAAAGTTAATGCCTTTATTATGAAAGTGGTTATTGTTTGGTGATGTTGATTGCTAGCAAGCTCTATTATGTATGTCTTTCACAGAGTTGAATCTGAGATTGTTTGTAAATCACACCCGAGAAATTGAGCATAAAGTAAGGAGCGATATATAGACACAGAAAATGAGAGATAGTAATGAACATTAATGAATTGTGTCATCTTCATAAAATATTTCTTTATTTATATGGGAGGTAAAGTAATTGTGTTATTACATTTTTGCTCCCATTTGGAAGGGGTCAATGCTAGGGTACTTCTGGTATTTTACAAGTGTGGGCTTATCGTTCAACTGCCTTCTGGCTCAGCCGACTAAGCTTAGTTGAATTTGAATCGATACAGTCAACTCGAGCAATTGAGCTTTGTCAATATGGTTCAGTTGGCTAATCCAGTTTGGTTAGATATCTTTGAGCCATGATGAGGAGCCGTTTGTGCCTCCACGAGATGGTCAAAGATACTTTGTGGAACTTATCTTTTTTTTGGATCATCTTTTTTAGGGGTAAGCTATCGCATTGATTCAACTTTCCAATGGCTTTTGGTTTGGATGCTCTTTGTGTCAATTCCAACTGGATGGCTTGTTCTTGGATTATCTAGTCGTCAACTTGTTCGCCTTGTGGCTCAGTTAATTTTGGCCTACTTGGCTTAGTTTGTTCAGCCAAGTGGGCCTCAAGATCTCTTGGTAGTGAGCTAGCCTCTATTTTACACTCTTTTTTACGGACCTGAAAATCTCCTTAAGATTGGTGTAGACACCGTTCAGATTTATATATTTAGTTCATCGATTCTCTTGTTTCTCAAAATTGACACTAAAATAAGAATAAGATAATTTAATGCAAAAGTACATTACATTCAATTTTAATTAGTAATTCAATAATTAAACTCTATTAATTTTGTTGCCTTTAAATATTATAAATAGGGTGTGATGTGACTTCCTATCACTCATAATTTTCTCAACGTCTTACATTGTTTGAGTCGGATGACTTCCTTGTAATAGACAAGATGATGGATAACCTAATGAAATCCTATGTTGATGTTCCCATGAAGAACCTACTTTGCTTCAACTTAGGGAAGTTAGAAAGACAAGAACACCAAGAAGGTGAGATAAGGAAGAAGACCCTCATGAAGAAGAAACATGTTGCACTCTCGATGTCAGATTAGGTCGAGTCATTTGATTTGAGTTTTGACAATGTATGAGAAAACGTTCAACTGATTTGCCCAACCTTTTATCTAACCACCCAACCTTCTACTATTGCACAAAAACCTCTGGTTAGCAAGGTCACTCAGATGACTCAGAGTTACCCCCACTTCTGTAGGTGCTCATTAGTGAGACTGTCATGTCGATTACAGTTTTTGAGTTGGATCGGCTCCTAAGAGAGGATTTGGTCTTATCTTTTAGATTTTATTTTTTGAAATCTTTGTTTATTTTAAGATATATCTTGGTGCAGATGACCCAACTCTGATAAACATGATTAATAATCTAACTTTGATTCACTTAACTAAGAATCCGATCGGGGCACCAGTGATAACAAACCACATCCAAGGCGAGGGCAATCAACTCTCGCGCAAGGATGGTTGGGTTTATCACCTTGAAAACCCCCTTAAATGATGTAATGAAGTAGTTGAATTATTCATGATGTCCTCTGGGTTGCTTGCATATCGTCTGTTAATTTTGGTTGAATTAGGATAGCAATAAGTGTATAATTTAAATCAGATTTAAGCCAAAGTTTTATTCTCATGAATTTTATAAGTTTGTTGGTTATCTTATTTCAAAAAAGAGACTTTAAATGTATATAAAGTTAATGCCTTCATTATGAAAGTGGTTATTGTTTGGTGATGTTGATTACTAGCAAGCTCTATTATGTATATCTTTCACTAGTGTTGAATATGAGATTGTTCGTGAATCACACCCGAGAAATTGAGCATAAAGTAAGGAGAGATAGATAGAACATTAATGAATTGTGTCATCTTCATAAAATATTTCTTTATTTATATGGGAGGTAGCGTAATTGTGTTATTACATTTTTGCTCCCATTTGGAAGCAGTCAATGCTAGGGTACTTCTAGTATTTTACAAGTGTGGGCTTATCGTTCAACTACCTTCTGGGTCAGCTGACTAAGCTTAGTTGAATTTGAATCGATAAAGTCAGCTCGAGCAACTGAGCTTTGTCAATATGGTTCAGTTGGCTAATCCAGTTTGGTTAGATATCTTTGAGCCATGATGAGGAGTCGTTTGTGCCTCCACGAGACGGTCAAAGATACTTTGTGGAACTATATCTTTTTCTTAGATCGGCTTTATTAGGGGTAAGTTATCGCATCGATGCAACTTTCCAATAGCTTTTGGTTTGGATGCTCTTTGTCTCAATTCCAACTGGATGGCTTGTTCTTGGATTATCTAGTCGTCAACTTGTTCGCCTTGTGGCTCAGTTAATTTTGGCCTACTTGGCTTAGTTTGTTCAGCCAAGTGGGCCTCAAGATCTTTTGGTAATGAGCTAGCCTCTATTTTACTCTCCTCTTATGGGCCTTAAAATCTCCTTAAGATTGGTGTAGACACCGTTCAAATTTATATATTTAGTTCATCGATTTTCTTGTTTCTCAAAATTGACACTAAAATAAGAATAAGATAATTTAATGCAAAAGTACATTACATTCAATTTTAATTAGTAATTCAATAATTAAACTCTATTAATTTTGATGCCTTTGAATATTATAAATAGGGTGTAATGTGACTTCCTATCACTCGTAATTTTCTCAACGTCTTACATTGTTTTAGTCGGATGACTTCCTTGTAATAGACAATATGATGGATAACCTAATGAAATCCCATGTTGATGTTCCCACCAAGAACCTACTTTGCTTCAACTTAGGGAAGTCAGAAAGACAAGAACACCAAGAAGGTGAGATAAGGAAGAAGACCCTCATGAAGAAGAAACATGTTGCACTCTCACCGTCAGATTAGGCCGAGTCATTTAATTTGATTTTTGACAATGTATGAGAAAACGTTCAACTGATTTGCCCGACCTTTTATCTAACCACCCAACCTTATACTATTGCACAAAAACCTCCAGTTAGCAAGGTCATTCAGATGACTCATAGTTATCCCCATCACTTCTGTAGGTGCTCATTAGTGAGACTGTCATGTCGATTACAGTTTTTGAGTTGGATCGGCTCCTAAGAGAGGATTTGGTCTTATCTTTTAGATTTTATTTTTTGAAATCTTTGTTTATTTTAATATATATCTTGGTGCAGATGACCCAGCTCTGATAAACATGATTAATTATCTATCTTTGATTGACTTAACTAAGAATCTGATCGGGGCACCAGTGATAACAAACCACATGCAAGGCGAGGGCAATCAACTCTCGCGCAAGGATGGTTGGGTTTATCACCTTGAAAACCCCCTTAAATGATGTAATGAAGTAGTTGAATTATTCATGATGTCCTCTGGGTTGCTTGCATATCGTCTGAGAAAATTGAGAGCTCTTTTGCTCAGTCAAGCAGGAACCAACATGGTGATGAGATGTATAAATCGTTAACTCGTATGGATAGTATAAAGGTGACAGTGGCAACTCCTTTCCAGAAGCTATTGAATAATGGGGAGAGAACCCTGGTCTTCCTGTTGCAAGCTGAGTCAGATCAGTTAAATCAATTTAGATATGAAGGGGGTTTCTTGTATAGGAGGCTGCTTCTGTTGAGACATGTCCCAGCTAATGCGACAACATATCCCCTTATAAAATAGTTGACTCAGACTAATTTCTGAGCATTTTATTATAATGTAAGTGACATTTTAAGAGTAAGAAAATATTTGTTCTTCTCTCGTTTCTTGTATATATATATA